CGAGTTTCAGCAAGGAGATCTAGAGTATACTTCCTTTGGGAAAGAAACGAGGCCTTGCTTAGATTGAGAGATTTCAATGCCTAGGAAGTATTTGAGAAGCCCCAAATCCTTTATCTTGAATTCTTTGGTTAAATAGCTTCGAAGTTTCTCAATCTCATCTCTATTATTGCCTGTTACAATCATATCATCAACATAAACAAGAAGCAAGGTAATATCATTATGATCCCGTTTATAGAACAAGGTATGATCTCGCCGAGGCTTGCTTGAATCCATACTCCTTCATTGCATGACTCAACCTCCCAAACCATGCCCTTGGTGATTGCTTTAATCCATACAATGCTTTTTTTAGTTCGCATACCTTTCCTTCTTCCGAGTGTAAATCCCGGGGGTGGATCCATAAATACTTCCTCCGTCGGATCACCATGAAGGAAAGCATTCTTCACATCAAACTGTCGTAGAGGCCAGTCCAAATTAACTGCAAGTGAGAGTATGGCGGGAACGGTATTCATCTTGGCAAGCTGGTGCAAAAGTCTCTTGATAGTCAATACCATATGTTTGGGTATAGCCTTTTGTGACCAGCCTACCTTTGTATTTTTCCACCGCCCATCCGGCTTGTATTTAACGAGTGTATACCCATTTGCACCCTACGAGTCTTTTTTCCTATTGGTAAATCGACCATTTCCCAAGTAGAATTCCTTTGGAGAGCCATCATTTCATCTACCATTGCATCTTTCCACTTAGGATTTTTGAGGCTTTTCTGAAAATGACTAGGAATATGTACGAGAAGACAGCTGAAGAGCAAATGGTAAGTTAGTTTTAGACAAATGATGATAGGATATAAAGTCGGAGATCGGGTAAACAACATTGGAGGTTTTTGAGAAACCGAATCTATCGGTTGCTTTTCTTTCACGAAGAGGATATCTCCTATTCGATCAATATTAGAATTGAGATTGAAATTTTTAGGAGATTCGAAAGAATAAATGCATACCTCGAGTGTCGGTCTTAGAAGATTTCTCCGATGGCATGGTAGTATCATCAAGGGAGGCACTAGAATTAGGAGGCAAAACAATGATATCTTCCTTTCTTCTAGAATATCCCCTCTCAAAGAAATGTGCTTGGTCTCTCGGGTCTCTCATCATCCGATTCAATTTTATTTTCCTTAACAAAAAGATCAACTAAAACTAAGGATTTCCTATTTGTCTTAATGTTATATGTACTTGAGGTCCATATGTGTTTTTCTCTCAACCATAGTTGTTCCCCTTCTTTACTACCAATCTCCCCCGAAGAGGAACTATAGATATATTGTCGGAAAAATAGGACTCATTTTCACGGAATTGAACATCCATCGACACATAATAGGTTCCTGTGGGAGGATTAAAACATTTGTATCCTTTTTGTGAATTAGAATAGCCAATGAATACACATTTGATAGCACGTGGATCAAGTTTATCTATATGAAGAGAATGAATATGAACATAACATACACAATCAAAAATCTTAGAACAAATATTAAGAGCGAGATGGAATAGGATGAAATCTAGATAACATCCTTAAAGGAGTTTGAAAATCAAGAATCCTAGCGGGCGTTCGATTGATAAGAAAAACAGCGAGTCATTACGACTTCAGCTCAAAAACGTTTTGGAACATGCATAGTAAAACATAAGGCTCGAGCCACTTCAAGGAGATGACGATTCTTACGTTCTGCTATACCATTTTGTTGGGGTGTGTAAACACAAGTTGTCCGGAAAAGAATGCCATGTTGTGTTATAAACTTAGTAAGAGATTGATTCACAAACTCACGACCATTGTCGAATGAAAAATTTTAATTTTAGTGTTAAATTGGGTGAGAATCATGTTGTAAAACTAAGGAATAATATAGGAGACATCACTCTTAAATTTCATCAAATATACCCAACCGACCCTAGTACGAGTCATCAATAAAAGAGACAAAATACTTATGTCCCGAAGCGAAGCGATGAAAGGACCCCATACATCGAGTATGAACACATGAAAAAAGAATAGTGCTTTTATTAAAATTGACTTTAAAATAAACATGATGGTTTTTAGCATAAATGCATTGTTCACACTTTAAACTAGAAATAGAAATGTTGAAAAATAATTGAGGAAACAATCGCTCTAAATAAGAAAAAGATGGATGTCCCAACCGACAATGCCAAAGCATAATTCTCACTTGATCAGATTTTTCTCTCTTTGTTTGAAAGCCACGAGGAGGTGCTACTATGCCTCGATTGTCCTCTAAATAATACGAACATCCCTCTCTTTACAAATGCCAATCGTCATCTTCGTAAGATTGTTCCGAAACACACAATGAGTAAGGTGAAAAATGACAGAACAATTTAGATTTTTTGTTATCTTGCTAATGGAAAGAAGGTTGTTTGAAAGTCTAGGTGCAAGTAGAACGAGAGGACATAGAAAATGTCGGAGAAAGAGACATTTCTAGCCCTCGTGATTGGCATAGAGTTCCCATTAGCAACTCTGTACGGACTTAATTGGTGGAGATGTTAGGGAATCAAGGATAGAAGAGTTACTAGTCATATGATCGGTAGCCCTTAAATCAATAATCCAAATATTAGGACAAGTAGAAATAATGGATAAACCAAAATTACCTTCTTGGGAAGATGTCCGAGATACATGAGAAGCGAGAAGATGCGAGTAGTATCTATGGCGGTAGCATTCGAGTAGAACTTCGTTTTTCCTCTCGGCTTGCTTGAGTTTATACCATTACGGATAGCCATGCTTCTTCCGACAAACATCAATCGTATGTGTATTCTTATGACGAGTGGGTGCAAAACCGAGATTGAGAAGTTGTAGAAGTGCTCTTTTGGACGGTTAGAGCTGAAGCTTCGAGTGGATTTACGCCCCCATGGTAACTCCGTCGTTGAACTTCTCAACGAACCAAGGAGTAAGCTTCTTCTAATCTTGGTAGAAGAGAAGTAGCTAGAACACGACTACTAACATGATCTAAATTATGATCAAGACCGAGCAAGAAAGACATAGACCTCGTCTTCGCCATACGTTTGCTGTATTTTTCTATATCAGCAAGCACATGGCATATCATTGGGCCTTCGATAATCAATCGCCATAAAAATTGAGTGTAATTCATTATAATATTCAGCTAGAGGCCGGCCACCTTGACGTGATTGGAAAGACTTCTTCATGAGTTCATAAACTTGAGAAGAATCGGATGCATCAAGGTAACTTCTTTTCACAACATCCCGGACTCCTTTTGCTGTGCCACACCGCACAATGTGTGACATTAGATTATCGCTCATTGAATTAATGAGCCAAGATTTGACAAGTGCATCTTCGGCCTCCCATTCATCATAGCCTGGATCATCTTCTACCGATGCAGCCTTCTTTCCGTTGATATAGCCCTTCTTTTTTCTTCCAGCAATATGCATCTCTAAGGTCTTAGACCGGACCCGATAGTTAGCACCATCCAATTTAATATGGATGGATGAAGGAGCATCGTGACTGATTATGGTGGAGGTTTTTCTGCTGTCGGTATTTGCAACCTTAGGTTTGGTAGACATACCGAGGTGTGGCTAGTGTTTTAGGGAAGAAAGGAGCAGCAACTCGCGGGTAGGGTTTTGAAAAAAAAAAAAAAAAGGAAAAAGAGCAGCTGCAGCTAGGGTACAAGGCTTTGATACCAAATTATTAATATACGGAATACCTTTTTTTCATATATTCTAATTATATATATACAAGATACAAGGACCTATACATGGTAAATAGATCAAACCTACCGCTGTGTGTATATTCCTAATTTAAGAGAAAACTATATAGGAAATATACATGATAGGAAATAGGAAAGAATACAGCTCATTCTCGCTAACTCTTCCTTCTCATTTTATATTTTGAGTGCTATAGTTTCATCATCAGATTTGTTGAGGTTGTGTCATATTGCCTTTGTACTAACCAAACATTTTGATGCCTCATTTGAGAATGACATTTTCCCCTAAATAAAAAAGAAAAAAAAATGCTGTGATCCTTTCATTTATAATCAATTTTTATCACAAATCTGTGCTTGCCTTGTTGCCACATTATATTAGTTTTGAGAGGCAGTTAGAGATCTCTAATATATGAAAACCACCTTTCAACATTATTTGTTCACAATCATTTATAGGCAATATCTTATCAAATCACTTACCCTTCCTAATTAGTGATTTGTCAAAGCATAAAGCCATCTAAGACTATTGCCTGTTCTTGCTCCTAATTGTATTGCTATCATTATCACCATCATTACTGACACGACTAACTTTCACTAGCCATGCTTAGTGAGTTTGGTCCAGTAGTTCTAGAAGTGGATAATACTTCAGAGTGCACACCAATCATGGAATACAATACTTTTATCCACATTTTTTCTTGAGGGACTTGGTTGTGTCCATTACCTAGCTGGGATAGATTCATTGATTTGATTTGTTATTTTATTTTTTTCCTTGGGAAATATTTAGGGGCTAATTAAAGGATATTTATAAACTGCATGTTTTGAAATTTTAAGTACATTCGTCTGTTTTTATGCTTTGTACTTTTTCAAGCATAAGCTTGCTTTTTCCACACTTTTAAAGGAGCCATGTTTTCATGGTCATTTCTGTGTTAACTTCCTGGTGTATTGTTGTCACCTATGTATAGCTACTGTAGTAACATGCCTATGCCTTTAAGGCAAAGCAGCAACTAGACTCCCCAGGCCACACATCTATTTTTATGGTCTAGTTTCTGAAATATTTTGAAAATGATTTAGGAGAGCTTGGATGTAGCTTGAAAATTAGGAGACTACATCCTTTATTTCATTCTGGCTGAGAATTAGCACAGATAGGGACAGGTTTCCAGTGGCAGATTTGCTCTTTTTGAAAGTTAAACTATTGTTTTGTTATGATTAAATGAGCACAGCCAGAATGTGATGTCTAGATGTTAAGGGACAGATAGCATATTTAATTTTTTGCCTGCTGAAGTTGCAAATTAATTTAATTTTATATGGGATGCGTACAGGAAATGGAGATGGTTCAAAAGGAAGTAACTCTCCTGATGGGAACAGTGCCAAAGACTTTGCTTCCCAAAAGTCTCATAGGGTAAACTTGGATTGGAGAGAGTTTAGAGCAAATTTATTTGCTCAGGAGCAGGTGAACGTTCTTTACTGATTGGGCTGTATATCTATTGTGTTTTGAATTGACATAACTATGAAGCCTAGAAGAGGACTCTTTAACTTTTATGTTATCGCTCACTGTTCTACCCTTTATTTTTGGACAATATAAACTTTCATTTGTTATCATAGTGGATCTATAGATGGTTCAGCGATGGAGCATTAATTTCTATTTGATTCTACCTGTCTAGTGCGTTCATGAATGAGCTGCCCCATGTAAGGAAAATAAATCGATTTCATGATTTTATGGAGGAGGAATCCCTATTTTCTAGCTTCTGCTGGGCTCTCACTTCTCAGATATAGGGTCTGGTACATAAGAAAAGGGAAAATAACTACATTAAAAATTGCACTCGATTTTTTTTTTGTATGTTCCTCCTTTGTTTCCATGACCAATTGAACGACCCTAAATTTCCCCAGAGCTCTTAACATCTAGTGTAGTTAGGTCAACTAAATTTCCCTAGAGCTATCAAGTTTGTTTTGTCCTCTTTTGTTTTTTAACACCCTGAAAGCCATAAAGTATTGTATTGGGATAGATGCATGGCTTCCTATCACATTGGTTCACATAGCAATGAGTTGAAAACGGACACCGTGTCTTTATAACATGAAAAATCAGAAAAGCAATTTGATGAAGATGTGAAATTTGTGCTGTATGGATTTCAGATTTTGCACTTGAAATGTTTTCACAGGCAGAGAAGACAGAATCTGATGCTCACAACCAAACTGGGACTCCCCAAGAGCTGAAACCCCTTGGCCTGAAATGGGCCCACCCTATTCCTGTACCCGAGACTGGCTGTGTCCTTGTTGCCACAGAAAAACTTGATGGTGTTCGCACCTTTGAAAGAACTGTTGTTCTCCTCCTCAGATCCGGAACCAGACATCCACAAGAGGGGCCATTTGGAGTTGTCATTAACCGCCCGCTTAACAAAAAGATCAGGCACATGAAGCCCACTAGCACGGAATTAGCAACCACTTTTGCTGATTGTTCTCTTCATTTTGGGGGACCTCTCGAGGCAAGCATGTTCTTATTGAAAACAGGGGAGAAGACAAAGCTTGAAGAGTTCGAAGAGGTGATCCCTGGCCTGTGTTTTGGTGCTAGAAACTGCTTGGATGAAGCTGCAGCACTTGTGAAGAAAGGGGTGCTGAAGCCTCAGGATTTCAGATTCTTTGTCGGTTATGCTGGGTGGCAGCTAGATCAGTTGAGGGAGGAGATTGAATCAGATTATTGGTATGTGGCTGCATGTAGCTCAAATTTGATTTGTGGGGATTCATCAGATTCATCATCAGAAAGTTTATGGGAGGAGATTTTGCAGCTAATGGGTGGTCATTACTCAGAACTAAGCCGGAAGCCTAAGCAGGATATGTAGGTAATTATGAGCAATCTGCATTCCCAAAATCAATAAACTGTTTCTGAAGCTAAAGCCAGATATGTAACTAAGGTAATGGAGCTAAATGTACAGAAACTCACCATCTTTATTAATCAGAATCTCTCTCCCTCTTAATCCTTTCCACATTTTCCCATAATAACCTGGGTAGTTATGGCTCTTTTATGGAACCGTGAACCCATAAATTATTTAAGAAAGGTTAAGCAAATAGGGCAGACTTATTTGGACAATCTCTAATTGGAATTACTTATTTATTTAATTTAGTCTATTTCGAGATGGGGATTTCTTTTTGTTTACTTCCTAGCAAAAATGATGAAAATATTGATGAACATTAACATAAAGATTTGATTGAGAAATTCTGAAATGTTGGGATTAAATCGATAAAATTTATAGGTTTCCCGTAGATGGACCAATTCATCTGTAAGCTTTGCTGTGCAGATTGACGGTTCTTAATGCACTTGTGGAGCTCACCTATTCACTGAATGTTCACTCTCAAAAGCTGGGAAATCCTTGAGACAAAGCAACCTTGAAATTTCTAAACATAAATTCCCACCCTAGCATGGATATCGAAAATCTGTAAATCAGTGAGTTCTAATGTTAGTCTTACAGTTCCTATGCTTACCCAAATTCCGTATCTTTAAGATGCCTAACCAACAAAAAGCAATACGATCGATTTCCCTGTTTTCAAAGGATCCGAACATGAAACTACTGACATACTAATGCCCGAACTACTAATGGCGAAAATGAAGCATTTCTGTTTCAATCATTTCAGTAGTTACTTACAAGAGAATATGGATACTTTCTGAATACAGCAGCTAATAGTTAATCAACAACCCTATCTACTATGCACAACAAATATTTCACTATTTGATGTATTTTCAGAGAATTACAAGAACAAAGCTCCTTCCTTACTTCAAAATGGTGTCTCACAATCCCAACTCAAATGCAATTTATGTCTCATCGAAGCTCTCACAGCACATCATATCTGCTTTGTCTGATGGCATGGACAACGAAGCTTCCGACTGGAGAGTGGTTCTGCAGGGTGAGGAGAAAAACTTTACGAGGATGCTTCCTTATTCCATGTCGGAGTAATTGTTTTGAGAATTACGCTTTGTATCGTCTGTTATCATGTAGTTGCCCATAACCATTAAGATTGTCTTTGGTTCCTGACTTCTCGAGACGGGCTTTACGCACAGCTTGCTGGATCTGTCTTTCGTGCTCTTTGAGTATTTCTTCCATGTTCCCCCCAGGAGGCATCAATGGTCCAGAGTAATGGATCCTGTTTTTCCCGGGAACATACCCCTGAAACCAGAGTTTCCTTTTTCGTTAAACGATCAGGAATAACAGTATGACAGTACAAAATTAACAAAATGAAAAGATGGATAAAAAAAACTATGCAAGAAAAAATAGATGGAGAGTTAAGAATGACGCGTGAACATTCTAGCAGTTGGAGTTCTGATTTTAACATTTAACTTTGCTTGAGAGAAAAAAATTGAAAACCAGATGAAGGTAGATAATTGTTTACCGTTGAAGAATCTCTGCCAGGAGCTTTTTCATTCGTCTTAAGGGAGGAGCTAGACGTCTCCCCTGATCTAGACACGTGAGATTTCTGTGCCCTCAATTCTGGATTATTTCTTGTACAATCTACACTCTTATTTAACGACGATCCTACTGCAGAGGGGTGAATCATTGAAGCAGAGTGCCCGAAACCATTCTGCTTCGATACTCTAGGAGGCTCAATTCGGAAGCCAGTCCCTGCATCCTCCTGGATATTATATTTATAACTGCTACTTGCAGTTTTTGGCTGTACCTGAGCAGTGAATTCTGGAGTGGGAGCTTTCTTGGTATCTCTTGAACCCCTTCTAACTGATTCAGGTCCTCTTCCTTTCACGGCTCTTTGCCTGAAGTAAGAAGTAAAATGTGTTTTCAGATGGAACAGTATATTTAATTTACTTATGAAATTGCTAATGAAAGTATTATCAAAGATTACTTTTTCCCTTAGCCTGTTATGAGCAATGTTTAATTGTCACATACCTTCTGGCTTCCTCATCTCGCAACTTGGCATCTAGTTCCTTGCATGGAGAATATTTGGGTAGACTTGATGGATGAGATGGAAGGGGCTCTGTTCTGAAGAACTGGAAGTAAAAAATTTCAGTAATAAATAACTCACATCGAACTCAATGCACTGCTGGAAGGTCCAAAGACCCATCAAAGGTAAGCTGTTAATAATATCCTTTACACTTTCATTTAACAAGGCCAAGTTCAGGAAGCAATTAGTACTAGATGTAACAAAAGATTCAATTTATATTTTATCCTGAATAAAAGAAGTTTAGAATTATTTAGACAGGAAAACTCGATTTGGGAGGTCAGAGTAAGCTTTTCACAAGCAAATTGTTTACAAGTCAACTATGTTGCCTGCAGGTTTTTTTTTTTTTTGGCTAATGATTCAGAATCTATATGATGATAACATTGGTGCTATCAGTTTGATGTTGGTGACTACTGGAGCAGATTTTATCAAGAAGTATTTGATAGGAATTCGGTCTAAAATCAAATAAAACGTTAGAAATAATTACCTCACTTTGAAGAGCTGAAGTGGCTGATCCTCGATCTTGTGGTTCCATTGACAGGAGCTTATCAACAAGTGTCAGAGCTGAAGGAGGGAAATTTTTGAACGTCTCAGTAATACAGCGTGTGTAAGATTGTTGAGGTTTGAAACTAGTTGCATGCGGAAACTTTGTCTTCTGCCAGTAGATCTCAGAGGGTGAGCCACAAAGCTTAAAAATCTTGTGCATTTGCTCTACCTGTAATCATTAAAATGATAGTTCTTGAGACCAAATACAATTCTGTGCACTGATGATGGATAGAAATGGCTGTCTTCTCATAATTCTCGTTTAGTACTACAAATTCATGCATTGAGAACGAATATTCATGATGCATAAAACACTTCTGATAGTTTCCCATGCGTACTTAAATGACCATATCGAACTTCTGTGGAGATACGAAAATACTGTAAAGCATAGAAGGAAGTTGAAGATTCCAAAGCATAGAAGACTAGTAGTGCTTTTTTCCCAGTGCAGGACGAGATGCAAGCATGAAAACCACACATGCAAATGAGCTTACCTCTGTTCTTCCAGGCATGATAGGCTTGCCAGTTAATAATTCAGCAAGAATGCAGCCAACACTCCACATATCTATAGCAGCTCCATACTCTGTAGCACCAAGCAAAAGCTCCGGCGCCCTATACCAGAGAGTTACTACGCGACTTGTTAGAGGCTGACTCTGATCAGGCTGATAAAAGGTTGCCAGGCCAAAGTCTGCAAGCTTGAGAACTCCATCACTGTTTATCAGAAGATTTGAGCCCTTGATGTCTCGGTGCAAGACACCACGTTTATGGCAATGTTCAAGTCCACGTAGAAGTTGTTGCATATAGCATTTTATCTGCAGGCATATGTAATTTCCTTGTAAGGCTAGACATGAATGGTAAGTTGATGAAGTTATATGATTTCATGATAGCAGAAGCTATAGAAGGTAATTCCAAATATTGAAAGGTCCCAAAAATTGAAAATACAAGAACATAAGTATACCTTCTGTCAAATAAAAAGGAAAAAAGAAAAAAGAACATAGATACCTGAGGTTCCGTGAACTTGATGCTAGGATTTGCTGCAAGCCCAGCAAGGTCATGCTCCATATACTCAAAGACAAGGTACAAGCTCCCTGACATCCTCGAAGTGACTATTCCTTCAAGTTTCATAACATTTGGGTGGTCAAGTTTACGCAAAATAACGATTTCCCTAGCCATGAAACGGACACTGTCCGGATCCATGTTGACAAACCGCACCTTCTTCATCGCAACAATTTTTCCAGTTTCAAGGTCACGTGCCTTGTATACAGTGCTGTAAGTTCCTTGTCCAATCTGCACATCATTTCGTTTCAAAAACAACACATAAGAAGGCCTCAAAATGTGGAAATGACACAATTTAGACTATGTGTGCTAATCTCCCTCCTGTATGGTTGCTAGAAATTAACTTTGCCAAATATTTCCTTCAATCAGAATTTCTGCTCCATAAATGTGTGTGATTCTACAGAACTACTACAGCTCTAATATAAATGATTGCCTGCTTCTTGTGAAGCATCCTAGCATTTTACCTAATCTTTCTTACATTTGAGTTCAAAGTAATGAAATTTATTTCCTTGCACTGTTTTCGTATTACTATTATTGTATTAGCAGCATATTAATATTATCCTAGTGCTAAATCTTTTAACAACAAGAAATGCTCAAGATTGCAATTCTGTCATGTCACAACTTCGAAACACGTAGAATTAGATAATTCAAAAGACAAAGTGAAAATAAGTTTTACGAGCATGAACCTTGTCTAGCTTCTCAAATGAGTCTGCTCGTCGAGGCAGCCACCCTTTGACGGCTTCTTCTGCAGCTGCTGTTAGCCATTGTGGCCATGCTTCCGTTTCAGAGCCATGACGGATGCTGATCATCCTACTTATACGTGGTTGGTCGTCATTGGACTCTGAATCCATTGTTACCGATCTATGATGTCCTTTATTCTTCGCATCAACAACTTTCCTTTTCTCTTCTCCTTCTTCCAATGAAACAGTAACATTCCCAACATTTGCCTTCGACACACGACGCACGGATCCATCCCGGCCAAGAACATCTACCAAAATGTCTTCGTTCTTGGATATTGCGGGAGCAACCAATTGCACAGAAGACTTATCCACCTCTATCTGTTTCTCATTCGTATTGCTATTCACGTCTTCTTCTGCAGCTCCCTTTGAGCAAAGGCAGCCCATAATCTCACCTCAAAAATCACCTTGTATCCGAACAGGAACCCTTCAAAAAATACCAAAACCACCACCACCCTTTGCCGTATTGCTGCTACGAATATTTGAATGGGTGCCCTTGCATGTATGCTGGGAACCCAAATTTACCATTTTTTTCAATCTCCAAAATCAATGGAGCATTGACTGATTGACAAATATCTCCATGTGGTTGCTCTTAAAAACCAAGATTTTTTTATTTTTCACTTTCAGAAAACACTAATTTTCCAATGATTGCAAAACACAATAGCTAGCTAGCAGAGAATTTCCGAATGAGAATGTTGTTGATATCAAGAAAGCCAGGCGAGAAGATCAAAGAAGAAAAGAATTGAATAACAAAGACGACTAAGGAAATAAAATCCAAAAGATATACGAATCTTTGATATTGTAAAAGAATTTTAGACAAGTGAAATAAATCTAGATAGACCAAGGAATCCCAGCACAGAACAGATAAAAAAAAGATTGCTATATTTTTTTTCTTTCCTAACAAGAAATGTTTAATAGAAGAAAAAGAAAAAAGCATCCAAAATATTGTTCTAAACGCATGAATTCTGGCAGGCCGTTCTGGGTTACAGTTATTTTTTTTCCTTTCTTTTTTAATTGATAAAAAAAAAAATCCAACTTTTTTTTTTTTTTGGTGAGTTTTGTTTAGCAAAGTAGAGTAGAGGTTAAGACAAAAAGGGGACAAAAATTAATAGAAAATAAAAATATTTTTTCTTTTGAAAAAATAAAGATAAAGGATCTTAATTTGGAAGAAGAGGAGAGACAGAAGGTTTGTGGATCTGGATAGTCCCTAAAAATGCGAGAGGCCAAATTTTTTTAGGATTTGACAGGCTGCGTGTTCGTTTTTTCAGTTTTCTTGCATGCCATTGCCATTACATACATCGTATTTTCCTATCTCTAACTAAAAAAAAAAAAAAAAAAAAACTGAAAAAAAATGCAAGAAAGTAGTTGAGAGGTTTGGTAAAATCTTGAAAAGCCGGTATTGAGAGAGGGAAGGAGGGAAGGGGAAAGAGTGGGGCTGCATGAAAACAGAAACGTGGATTGCAGTATGATATGAGTCTTCAGTTTAACAAGGGACATGTACGTGTTTCTTCAGGTCAACTTTTCCATACGAGGACAACTTGTCTTTCCAAACCCTTTATATATATATACCACCAAACCAGATAGAATAAGAGAAGAATTTATTTGGTATGTCACTAATTATAAAGTGAGTGATTATATAGGAAGTAAGTAGCACGTTGGAGGTGATAGAGCAGGAGTACTTGTGATCTTGCTTGAATCTTTGATGATATTGTTAACACATTGAGATCACGAGTTTTCCACGCATAAGATGAGGAGTGGCTTCAATTAAAGACTCCTCTTTCACGTTTTAAACAAAAAGATCAGGGAAGAATATAAGCCTAAAGGGATTCAAGAATTCATATATATATATATTTGGGGATTAAGCTAAAGTTTCCCTTGTTTATAAGAGAGATGAAGGAAATTAATAAAGATTTTGCCGATAGAAACCCCTGCTACATGCCCACCAAAACCCAATAAACTCTCACCCTTTAAACATGTTAAAGATTTGGATAAATTACAAAAACCCCCACAATCTATTACTTTGTTCACAACGTTGATATCATAGAAATTTCTACCTGCAGGTTTGTTGATAGAAAAAGAGATTCGAACACGAATCCTATTTTCTCTGCTTAATTTGCAGGATCAAGGATTCTGGCAAAACAACTTTAGAGAAATATATTCACAAATAGTCTCCTAGCTATGAGAAACTAAAAGCAATACTAGCTAAAATATTTGCATAACTAAGTTATCGGTGACGCAGGAGTTTATGTCCGAGGACATGAAGCCAAAAGGTGTAAGGCCAATTGGACATGACGATACTGAGAGGATGTGCATTGAGTCGAATGGTGCAAGTTCAAGTGGGCTGAAATTCAGCCTAGTTATCTTATTTTTACTTTAGTTTTAGTTATTTTATTTGTCCTAATTGTTAAAGGATTGCTATTTTGTTTAAGTTTTTTTTTTTTAAATTCTTTTTCTGTTATGGATTTAGGCTAAAATATTTAGTTGTCGTTTGACTTAGATTGGTTATTTTTAATTTGGCCAAATATGTGTATGTTAGGTTTGTATAAGATCCATGTTTTGTTAAGAGTCTATAATTATTAAAGGTCTATATTTAATTAGAACTTCATATTTGTTTTAGATTAGAATTGAATGGATCATTGTCTAGAAAGGACAAGTGTAGCCGGCTATACTCCCGATATTTAAGGAATTATTGCCATCGCGAGTATTTAAGTACTTTTATGTATTATGAAAGATAGTTTTGAGTTTTTTGATAAATGCAAGTATGTGAGAAGTTTTTCTTTCTTTGGGTGTCTCTTTATGCATCGGCTTGGGAACGTTGCGGCTATATACCGGATTTGATCACTCAAAATAGGGACTTTGATCAATGACGTAAAACCTTGTGCTTGCTCGCATTTGCATATGTATCCCTTATAGATGGAGTTGTAGGGGAGTCATTGACTTGTGCTAGAATCAACGAAGGCTCGTACTTTTCTTAAAATAAGTTTTAGCTAGCTCTCAACAACGAGTCAATTATTTTGAATTTGTGTTGTTTGAATTGATTTGGTTTGTTTGTGACTCGTAGAGTGGATTTGTGGTTAAATTGTTGCTTATTGATTTTAGATTTGTTGGGTTGATTGAGCAAAGTTTTGACTTTAACACAACATGACTTAAAGTTGCTTGTTTTGCTTGAATTATGGATTTCGGTTTGATTTAACTTGATTATAACTTTCAATAGCCTTGATTAAGTGGATTTCGGAGTTTGACTTAGTCCAAGATTAAGGGTTTTGATGATTGTTTTTTTGATTTGAGGGTTTATGGATTATTGTTGATAGATTATTGATTTCGGTTATAATGAATTTTGGGTGTTTGAGTTTTGGATATTATGGAATTATTAGCTATTGGTTTTGGCATCATGTGGATTTTTATATTTGTTTTTTTTTTTTTTTGGTTTGCATTGTCTTTATAGGACTAGAGTCAACTGGGTATCATAATTGAAGTTAGTTTTTGTGTATGTGTATGTATCAATATGTTTTTGTGAAGATGTCTCCAAGAAGACCACCAATCTGTATGTCCATGATAGACTTATAGTGTGAGAATGAGAATTTACAATAAGAAATTAAGGAACTTTAGAGCAAAAATCATGAGGCGGAAGATGGCTAAGAGTTTGTGGGTGAAAAGGAGGCCCCAAGATGAAAATCCTTTTCATCACCTATTAGCCGAATATTCCGAGGAAGAGGAGGTTGCATCCCATTAGGGTTGGATAAAAATGAGGCGATCACAAAACCAAGATTTTAGAGTCAAGGCGAGAGATCCTTAATTTCGAAGGAAGACTTAACTCGGATGAATTTATCGAGTGGATGCACATGGTGGAGAAAGTGCTATTTAAGTTTCTATGGTTTTTTGTAATTTCTAGGTAGTTTTATTAGTCTTAAGGATATATCGGTATTTTTATTCTTAATTTAGGGAAGATAGTTAAAAAAAATTAATTAAAAAAAGGAAAAAAAATCTAGATGAAAAAGAACATAAAATGTTAAAAGAAAAATAATTAGAAGAAGTTGAGGTTAAATTATAGTGAATAGAAAAGAAGGGGTTGCCAAAAAGAAAGAACTAAGGGTAAAAGTGAAGAGAATTAGAAAGAAAGAGAACAAAAATTGAAAGATAAGAATTATAATCATCAATTAGAGGGTGCAATTAAAAGAAAAGAAAAGTATTAAGGATAGAAACAAAAAAGCTAAAATATAAGGACTAAATTAAAAAAAAATAGAGAATTAGTGAAATGGTGTGTTTCGCTTAAAGAAAAATGAAAAAAAAAAAAAAACTAGAGAAACGATGCCATTTCCATGGATTGAATTTAAACTCGTAATTTATCTTTCTTTTCCTTTTTTTTTTTTTTTCGTAGTTTTGGCTTGAATTTCTCCTCCATTACCGATGCGAAGCATACTTGAAGATTTAAGGCTAAAATTTACCTCACCATTATGGCGTAAACTTTCAGCCAACTATCCTATTTTATTTTGTTATTCTTTTATTTATTTGGATTAGATATTATTTATTTGGATTATTTTATTTGTGTGGACTTGAGTAGGATGGCAATGGGGTAAGGATCACCATCCTCATCCCCACCCCGCCTCTAAAACAAATTCCCCATCCTCGCCCCGTGCCCCAAACGGGACAAAATTTTTCATCGCATCCCTACCCCAAACGGGGATGGGGATCGCCGCGGGGCAAACGGGGCGTAAACGAGGTAAATTTTTTTTCATCTCTTTTTATCTTATTCTACTACCAAATTTCAAACTATAGCAAAAAAAAAGAAAGAAAGATAGTTTATATAGAAAATAAACCCTAAAAGTCACTAATCATAAATTGTATATGAGGTATAATTATAATTTTAATGAAAAACAAGGTCAAAAACGGGGCAAACAGGGCGGGCAGGCAAATCCCATCCCCGCCCCGTACGGCCCCATTCCCCGATCAATGCGAGGAATCCTTGCGTTGATCGGGGAAAATCGAGACGGGGTCGGACGGGGCTCCGTCGGGGCGGGGAAAGTTACCATCTCTAGACTTGAGCTAAATAATTAGTCGTTATGATTTTTGGATTTTCTATTTATTTAGGAACATGGCCAAATATGTATGGCCTATATGGGTAATTTGATCTTTGTGTGTTATGTATCCTCATTTGTTTAGGATTTCTTATTTAATTATAAGTTCATGTAGTATGTGGATTTATATTTAATTAAATTAACTTAATTAAATTCTAATTGAATATAGATTACATATTTTAAGTAGATGAGAAGTTTGGCCTAGGGAGGAATTTTCAACCTTAGTCGCATCTTTTAGGATTTTAGAGAGTGAATATTTAAGCACACTTTGGACGTCTTTTTTGTCGGAGACTTTGATGAACTTTTGAATAG